CTCTTAGAGGAAGACGATGTAATACAGATCCCCTGGGATATTTGACGTTTTAATCTAATGGCTGTATCCATTGTGGTTTGGACAGACCATTATTGTTCGAAGCAGCATGACCAATTTTACAAGCAGCTCATCTGCTAATGAACACTTTGATTTCAACTTTCCATGTGTCTTTGGAAAAAAAAAAAAAAAAACTTGCTTCAAGTTTGATTGCTTTTAAAACGTTGAAAATAGATGCAAAAAACTGGTATCGCCCTATAGTTTGCATTTACTTTATGTTGATGAAAACGAGAAAAAAAAAGTGATGGAGGAAAACACTTTCTGTTGTAGACGTCTTCAGCAACGTTAGAGTGTGCACGTGCCTGTGGATTAGGAGACTGAGATAAAGAACTGTGTGTCCGCCTATTAGCTCAGTGAAAAGATAGAGAGCAGAACTCCCCACTGTCTAATATAATGGGATTTTCTGCCCACCCATCTGCAGAAAATACAATTACAAAGCCGTTACGAGTAGCATTCTCAGATTTCTCTTTGAAATGTTTTTTACTATGCTCTCCTTACATACCAGTGGCCAGATTCAAACCAAATAGACATCCTTTCACACAAACATGTCCACATATTACTACCCTGCATGCAAGACTCGAGGGATGGGGATGGCCAGCGTACGACCTTCAACCCTAATGTAGTTTAGTCAAAGAGTTTTCTGTCATGTTGCCAGGCAACCAGCAAGCAAAATCTGCAGAATCATTCTTGATTAAATCATTAAAACAGGCAATCAGTAACCCCCACCACTTGTTGACGCTATGAGCTCCACATCTTGTGACATAGAATTGAAGATTCTTGTATAATGACAAAAAAATACAATAAAAATACGAAGAAAAAACATCCAGACACAGTCCTGAGTGCACGCTGGCAAACCATCAGACAGACAGTTTTGCTCAGTTTTGCTCAGTCCGGAAAACAAGATTGTGTGGGTGTGGCACAAAGTGATCATCACATCATTGTTATTGGGCAAAATTGCAGGAAGAATGAGCACTCTGCCATCAGTTTCTTGTTGTTTACAGCCCACAAAGTTCAGCAACCACAGCTGACAAAAGCTTTGATGGACAATAAGAAATACTGTATTTGGATTGTTTTTAATAATTAATACCATGTTTCTTCCACTTAAGATGCTAATAGTTTCCGGCACACTACACTCAGAAACCAGAGTCTAACCTCATACGCAAAGTTCTAATAAAATTAAATATATATTCTCTGGTAAAACCTTCATTTCCAAATGAGAAATAATTATTTATTTTAAAGACATATTTACATGTTTCATTCAAATACAGTTGAAAGTCACACAGTTGTGAGGGCTTCCATGAAATTCCAGACAGTAATGTGCTGTAAGTTGAAGCATTTATAATTGGGGTGTGCATTAATTGTTGCACAAGAATCGGACACTGATAACTTCAACACTTTTACAGGTTCGGATGTGCCACTAATGCTAATTGTTGTTTGGTTGCTGAAAGCATTGCAAGATGTTTAAAAGGTCATTACAGTATAAGTTAGTGATTATGCTTCTGAATTATCTGTCAATCTATGCACTCTGTCATTTAGTCAAATTAAAACTGAAAGGTACTTATCAGTTTCATGCAAAAGTGAACATTAGTCCTCAACTACTTACTGTTAGACGTCAGATAATAGTTCTGAAATGCAGCATTAGGGCATTAGAATGCTTTTGCAGATCAGATGAAAAAGATGGACATCACAAGAATAATTACAACTAATATTTATGTTTCTCACTAAATGTTATCAGGAATAGGATGCCAGATAGGCTGACACATACATAAAACAATATGCCTTCCTTCATTAAGATGTTTGTGGAAAAGGCTTTTCCAACTATCTTGATAGTTGTTGTTTTTTCCAACATTTAAGAAAAAACAGTTTGCCTACTTTTACAAAAAATATATCAATGATCAGTTTGTGATCTACACAATCCTTGCATTTTATGGTCTTTGTTGTCTAAAAACTACAAAATTGGTCTTTGACTGCTGTTTTTGATGATCTTGGGATTTGTGCATTTATGAGATGCATAACAAATCAGTGCAATTTAAGTCTTCACTGTAGCACAACACTTAGCAGTTTCACAATAAAAGCTTAAAAAAGCAACAAAAAAAAAAGTTGCCTCTAGAATTTTAGCATCCCCTCATTTGCCTTTTGCATTAGGAACACTTGTGCATTATGATAAAAAATAAAAAATAAATAAAAAACATTTTCAAGGCTACAAAAAAATGTAACATGCCTATGTAACAGTAAAACATTAAAAGATGCTTACAGGGAGGCAAGAAGAGCTGGAGGTGACTTCACACTGTAACTGCCAAGAAAAACTTCAAAGATGAAGGTCCATTTAAACAAATTTGGTCCTCAACTTTTACACGTCAGTCAAAATGTTAAAAAAAAAGGCATAAAGCACACTAGGAAGTTTCACAAGCAGATGCTAAATGAAAGGTGAGTCTGACTGGCAAGCTTATTTAAATAAAGTAAGCAAAGCATAAGCTATAGCTCAGGTCATCTCACTTTTACAGAGAATTAAACTCAAACAAAAAAGTAGCAGGGCTACAAATATTTCTTTAATTCTTTATTTTTTTTTTTAGAAAAATTGTAGGCTTATTTGACACATTTTTATTTAAATAATTTATGCTTTTTAATAAAATGAGTTATAGCAATGTATTACATGCAGGCTTTTTTTTTGGTATATCACACATTTTATGAAGAAACAATGACATGTACCATGTAAAAACATTCTTTCGGTGTGCATAAAGTAGCATAGGTAATGGACATTTAAATGACATGCAAAAAGTAGTTTCGTCAATGGAATTGTACTTTTAGCACAGATGCAGCGGACAGTGTAATTTAGCTGTTGGGTCAGCAACAATATACAGTCTAAAATGTAAACAGAGGCAGGAAAAAGCACAAGGACACATTGGATGTGTGATGTGATTTCCTTGAGAACATTCAGAATACAGCATCCTGAGCTGTCATATCCATCTTTGATATTAATTATGATAAAGACTGAGGTAAACAGCAAAACACAGTTCACAAAGCTCACACAAAATCAGTCAACCTGTCAATAATCTAACACAGAGCTGTACAATCAGTATCCATGTTGTTCATCTTATACAATGGAACATAGAGTACATGTTATCTAAGAAAATTAATATGAATTGTCCCCAAATTATAAATTATATTATGACCAATATAAAACATGCAATCAAGACAAGACAAAGAAAGGGTATGCACTTGGAGAAGGCTTGTACTGAAAAGAAACTGAAACTGTAAAATGACTCTGCTGTCTAACAAGGCAGCATTAAAGACTTTTCTTCTCTGCAGAAACTCTTAAAGAGGAGGTTCTAATGAGATATTCAGATGTAAAAGTCATTAAATACTTGGATTTAAGGTAGTTTAGAACAAAACATGTACATACTTAACATTACTGTAAATGTTACGGTAAACGAGTCAAGGTAAAAGTCCCCGAAGGGAACATGTGATTTACAGATGTTAAATACACGGCAAATATAAAATACATCAGAAAACAAACAATTTGATAAAATACAATGACATTCACACAACACAGTGATCGGCATCTTTCTCTCCCCACAGTCATAAAAATGTTGAGCATGCTGATATTTTCTTGTTATGAGCAGCAGTAGAAGACGGAACAAAAGGTCAGTCTGTACGTTGGATTTGTGGACACCATAGGTTTTGATGACGTGTGAACATATTTAATGATAAAACAATGTGCAAAGTGTTTTACACAAGAGTTGCTGCCCTCACACGGATTAGCACACTTGAATTGTCTGAAAAATGGCGTTTCTTTTTATGGAAAATATTAACCAGTCCAGCAAATGTGCACCATGAATCATAAGGTCCTGGATAACACATGGTGAAAAGGGCAGTCTTTGGTATGCACAGCCATGGAAACACAGTCATGCAGATCTACATACTGAATGGCTTTATCAAACATTTTGAAGGGCTATCAGTCATCAAGGCCATGAAAAAAAGATTGAACTCTTAGGGGTTCACACTTGGAGTAAAATGAAATGTATTAAAAATGAATTAAAAACACACAAAAATTAAATATCAGGATAAACACTTTTACTACTTGAAAACATAAATGTGGTTTGCAACTGAAAATAAGAGATATATGAACAGATCAAGACACAGGCAGTAGAAATAGCTGGAATTATACATATGATAAAAAGACATATATATTTCTGATCATTTGCAGTATGGGGTTCTGTGGAGAGATAATTAGTAACTAATATTTCATCTGTTGTAGATTACTTTTTGAACCACCTGAGATTGGAGAATAGAGTTTAATGGACTGACGAGCAATTCTGACTGGGACCAAAAATCAACTTGGACTGCTGCCATCTTAAAACTGCTTTAAAAGTAAAAAATCCCATTGCAATTCATGCAATGCTGTTTTATAAACACTTCTGTTGCAGATCATTTATTTCAGTTGGGTATTTGCAAGCATAATTAATGGCTAGTTGCAGCAACTTCGGTGCAGCCTGATCACTTCCAGCAAAAACATTATATTTCAGCAGAAATAGCAGTCTAATGTGTAACTGATGACAATGTAAAGAGGTAAAAAAAAGTGTCCACATGAACTAATGTGAATATTTAGAAATAGGAAGTAGTTTAGAACAACAGTCCACTTTGGTCTTAGCTTTGATTGGGCTAACTGTTAGCATGTCGATCCAGTCAGAATTAAACCCTATTTCGTCAAACTAAAGTCAAAGACCTATCTGCAACAGTTAGGATATTAGTTGCTCATAACTTCTCAACTGAACCCCTTGTCACAGGACTTGAACTATCCCTTTAACCAGTGTGGTTTTCTTAACACTTTGTATAACATTGCAAACAGCCAGGCAGGTCTATGTTCCTGGAATGATTTAAAGTAGTTCAGGTGAGTAAACTGAGTCCCTTTCAAAAAAAAAAAAAAAAAAGTAAACAGTTTTTCATTCCTTCAAAGTCTTTTCTTCCTCTCCAATACTCTCCTCTGTGTCTTGTTCTTTGACATCTTTGCTCTCAACCTCTTTTTCACTTCTGTCTTTTTCGCATTTGTTTTTCCCGTCCGTTGCCACGTCGTGAACGTCGCATGAGTCCGTCAAAGGCGTCGGCTCAGTTTTGTCTGCGCCTGAAGTTTTTTTAGTTTTTTTATTCAGATGTTGTTTGTCAGTGACCTCTTCGTCGTTTTTAATGTCAACATTCAGTATGCAAGAGAGCTTACTCCTAACTGCGAAATGTCTGTACGCTCTCTGAATCACAACAGCTGATAAATCTTCCTGTTTGCGGCGAAGGGTGGATGTAATGGGCTCGTAGGACATTTTGGAAGGATTGGAGGCCATGAAGCGCTCCTCCATTTGTCCTCTCAGGTTGTCCATCTCTGCACTCTCACCCAAAACACGCTTTGTGAAGGCAAACAGGATATCTAGGCAGTGAATGCGGTCACCACTCACAATTGGTAAATCCATAGATATGAGTATCTTTCTGTTAGGCTTGGGGATACGTAATGGTGGGTTGAGAGCATTTGCTAATTCTGAAAGCATATTGTACTTGACAAACTGTGTTGCATGAGGATCAAATCTTTCCCAGACCTCATAGAACATTTCAAAGTCATCTTCACTTAATGGGTCGGCGCTCTCCTCAGTTGCCACACCAAAGTTCTCCAGAATGACTGCAATATACATGTTCACCACAATAAGGAAGCAGATAATGATATAACTCACAAAGAAGGCAATTCCCACTGAAGGCCTTCCACAGTTTCCTTTAACTGTACTCCCTGGATGCTCCATTGTATTGTCACAGTCCGCCGTGTCTGTGTTCAGCATGGGCGCTAAAAGGAGGTCCCACCCCCCTGACGTGGTAATTTGAAACAAACAGATCATGCTGTTGCCAAAAGTCTCAAAATTGAAAAGGTCATCAATGCCCTTTTCTTTCTTGACATAAGCAAAGTTTGACATGCCAAAGATGGCGTAGATAAACATCACCAAGAAGAGCAAGAGACCAATGTTGAACAAGGCAGGAAGTGACATCATCAAGGCAAACAAGAGTGTGCGGATCCCTTTGGCACTTTTAACAAGGCGGAGGATCCGGCCAATTCGAGCCAATCGTATGACTCTGAACAGGGTTGGCGAGACGAAATACTTCTCAATTATATTTGCGAGAAATGTGCCTGAGGAAAGATCAAAGTTTAAAAAAATGCATGAAAATTTGCAAATAAATCAGGAATAACACAAATTAAGCATTTTGTTTGGACAAAACATAAATCATACATACCAACAATTGACAAGATGACTACGATGAAATCAAATATATTCCAGCCATTCATGAAGAAGTATTGTCGAAGTGCAATCATCTTTAACAGACACTCTCCACTGAAGACGACTATGAACACTATGTTGATGTTCTTGAGAACCTGCTTTTTTTCATTTTCGTCATATTCTGTTTCCACCATCATGGTTACCATATTAAGCCAGATTAGAACCATAATCACAATATCAAATACTTGTTTTGTGACTAAGTCAAAGATGTATCCTTGTATATTGTTCTAAAAAAAACACACACACACAAGAAAGAAATATGTTTAGACAAAATTTAGAAAAAACGTCTTCATCATCATAAATAGAATGCATTCAGAAAAGTTCCATACCGCCGGCCTAGGTATAGGTTTCTGTGGTTTCTTTGACCCCAACTTTTTCATTGCATTGTAGTATTTCTTCTGTTCTTCAGTCATGAAAATATCCTGACCTCCAAAGTAAAGATGGCAAGAGAGGACTATTAGACTACAGCAAAATACAAATATAAAATGTGCTATAAAAAGTGATACTTATCTTTTTTTTTTGCTGATTGAAATTATCTATAATGACACCAATGAAGAGATTGAGGGTAAAAAAGGATCCGAATATGATGAAGACAACAAAATATGTGTACATCTCAAAGTTTCTTTCATAATCCGGTTGTTCGCCTGGCTACGAAGGACAACAACGACAAAAAAAAAAAACATTTTCTCCATTAGTGGATAATGGTTCTGAATAGATTTTTAGTTTGTACAAGTCTGGTAGCAGTCAAGTGTGGCCAGATATGTCACTCAGTTTTCCAAAAATCGTTACTAATCACAGTTAATTCATGATTTTAGAAGCGTTATGTCAATGTCCTCTATTGCTGAGGGATTTCAATATGTAATGTTTGTAGTTTTTAAGATCAGTGTTTTTTCTGCACTGGAATTTACCAGGGAATGAACAGGAACCTAATTTGTGTTGTCTATGGTTTCATGCATGTTTGGGGTTGTGTAAAACCCCTGAACAGAACAACAATCAGCTTTGATTTGTCAAAGACCTCTTTAGGGGATAAAAAAATATAAAAAGCAACATTAACAAAATCAGCAATAAGTCTGGTTATATTAAACAATAAAATATAATTAACAAGTCATTTTTAAACTAAATAAATGAGCTGAGATTGACTTTGGTATCTAACTTTCATTGTTCTTAGGTGACAGTCATATTGTAAAATGAATAATGCTTTGCCTTATCAAAAAACAAACAAAAAAAACAAAACATAAAACTGGTTTGGTTGAACATATATTTAAATAGTTTTAGTAGTGTTGCGGTAAACAAAGAAAATTGGATACGTTTTCTGGTGAGTCCACAGCAGCATACATGATATCCATCCAGCCTTTAAATGTAGCCTGTTCAGGAACAAATGTAGCAAATGAGATGTCTAAGTTTGAAAGTGCATTCACTGCAAATATTTTGCATTTTAAAATGATCCTTTAACATACCACTTGCAAAAGTGCAAGGTAGCCCATGGCAACATTGTCATAGTTGACTGCGAGATTTTTCCAGCGTGCGGTGTAATTGCCAGTTTCATTTAATTTTTCACAAGCATGTTTATTTTTCACTTGTGATATGTTAAAAGCCTTATCTGTGATTGTGTCAAAACAACTGCTGAACTTCCCAGCAAATAAGTTGACTCCCATGATGCTGAAGATGAGCCAGAAGATGAGACAAACCAGCAGCACATTGAAGATGGAAGGAATGGCTCCCATTAAGGCATTGACAACGACCTGTACATAAACACACACACACAAATAACACGTGCTCTGCAGGTAGATAAGACAACTCAGAACGACCATGATTTTACTATAGCAAAACGAGACAACAAAATAAATAAATAGAAAAAGCAAAACTGTGGTAACATAAGCGCTGCAATATAAGTGCCTGGTAAAACTGGAGAAACGGAATGAACGCAGGAGATTAAATAAAGGATGCCAGTAAGAAATGGATACTAAAACATATTTTAGTAGCTTACTTATTTTGAAACAAAAACACAGAAAAGTAACACATTGTGGATGATGTAGGATGCTGCAAATTGTGATGACTATAAACAGACATACAGTAAAACATAAAGAAATCATGCTGGATAATTCAGGAAACAATATTAAAACTGTGAGACATGCATGCCTACTGAGAAAACCACATGAGTGAAAGCAACCTGCCTGGCAGTGCTATAAAACCACCACAACATGACAAGAACCAATCCATAAATGCTTCATTGATTTCAGCAGCTGGCAGTCCAGTGACTTCTGCTACATAAGCTACTGACCTCTGTTTAGACTACAAGTGGTAACACTATGAGCAAAATAATTCCATATTGAAATTTCAAACACTTTCTAATGATCATTATGCTTTAAATCACCACATATGTTTCAGACATCAAGGAATAAATGCAAGTGTGAAGACAATACAGTTCAATAAATTTAAAAAATAATAATTCATGCCATTTTATTGCTTGCAAGCAAAGGGATTTACGTGCTTTCAAGCTAGCAATTCAATTATTGGTAGCAATTCCAGTTAGTCACTGCTCCTAGCCAAGAAACTGCTTACACATTTCTTAATTTTACCAAAACATGATGGTTTTTAAACTGTTTTTCTCTTGACACAAGTCTATACATTTATTTAAGTTACACATTATCCAGGAAGAATTAGATTTTATACAGCAAACACGTATCAATAGTAAAATTATAAGAAAAACAATCGAATTACTTGGATCAACTTACTTGAGCTATTTGACTTAAAGCAGAAGACAGATAAATAATAGATGGCAAAGCATGCAAGGCAAGGAGAGGAATTACTGATTGTGGGCAACGCAATTTTGAGATCTTGCAAAGAGGGGCACATTGGCTATGCTGGATAGTTAAGTATTTGTTTGGAGTTCAGATAAAGCATCTGCTGGTGTTCAGTTCTGTGAATGAGATTCCTAAACTGTCCTACAAACTAAATCACTTAAATCATGGGGGGGGGAGCAGCCAACACGAAGAAACACCAATTAGCACAGAGTTGCAAACAACTAAACTTGTTGATGAACGGGAGCCTACGCCTTACCAACACACACACAGCTTGCTTCTAATTACTATATCACACTCTATCTCCATGAATCAGACCATATGTTTAAGCATTTAGAATTTGATCTTTTGCTCTGACCAAACAAACGAAAAGGGGTTAATTGGGCCTATGTTGGGAAATGACCTCCTACATTCAATATGATCTAAGATTTCTTTCTTCTAGTTTAATGGTAGGACGGATGGATGGATGGATGGATGGTAGACAAACACAAATTCACACCAAAACAAATTTTACAAGAGACACAAAGCTTTAAAAAAAAAACGTGCACCATAGTGTTTAATGTTGATAATCAGTAGATTGTGAGGTCCCTGTTTTTACCATGAATTCAATGGGTAAACAGTTCATTCAGACTTTGTTACTCTTACCCTCATGCCTTCAAACCTTGACAGGGCTCTTAGGGGCCTCAGAGCTCGCAGAGTTCTTAGTGACTTGATTGCACCGAGCTCTGAATAACCCAAAGCATTGGCCACAAGACTGACCAGTGAAACCTGATGGACAGACAGAAATAAGATGTTGAGCATATAGAAGAAACAATTTTATTCCCTAAAAGTCACGCTAATTGCTAGCCAAACGTGTCCTAGTATTATGGAAGTTTTGGGGCAAATAAAACAACTCTTGCTCAAAAATATCACACTGATGTGATTATCATTATTATTAAATTCACTAAAGTAAGTCTGTATGTTTTAGCATAACATAACTTTTTTTATATCGTCATTGTTTTATCAACTTTAACGACCTTGTGATGGACTTGTGACCCGACCAGGGTGTACCCCACCAATCGTCAAGATCCGGCTCCCTTCAAAGGACCATAAATCCCACCTCTATCCTTATTCACTCTTTCACTCTCAATGAAGGCGGTCGTTCTTACCCTCTCTCTCTCCCTCCCTCCTTTTTTTTTGCTCTCGTGTCCTGTCAACCTCAGAGCCTCTCTTTACACATCTTCCGAATTGAAAATTATTATGGATTTGGTCAGCTGGTCCCTCAACGCAATTGATCAATTTTTTTCCACCAGACGACAGGGTGCTGGAGAGCCCTCATGCCCTGAACGGACCCACGCAGCTGGGTATGTCATTGATTCCTGGGATAAGTGGAAGATGATGCGCCCATCTGTGCTGTTCATGGAGGACGTAGAAGATCCATACATTATTGGATTTATGATAACACGGTTTCTGCTTTTTGGAATGTGCAGATACCTAGGATATCGACAAATTAGGAAGACACTGGCAGTAGTTTCAGCCACGGTAAAGCTGCCAGCCTTAAGTGAAGGATTAATTTGTGCCTCGAGCTCTCAGACTCATATGCTTAACGAGCTCAACTGCAAGCTGGAAGCAATTTCTGAGAATCGTAGGCCACTCGCGGCTCCTGGAACTCGCCAGCATGAAGGATTCAATCTTGGAGAAAGCCAATCAAAGCATACAAACACTACAGTATGTCCAGAACAGCGCTGCCAGGGTCCTGATGAGAGTGCATAAGCATGAGCCCATCACCCCTGTACTTCGTTCACTTCACTGGCTTCCTGTTTCTGCCTGGATCACTTACAAAATGTATCTGCTCACCTTCCAATGCTTGTACGGTAATGTGCCATCTTATTTAAAATAACGTCTCACCCCTCATTGTCCTTCACGCACTCTCCACTCTTCCAACACTCAGCTTCTTCTCACTCCCAGGTCTCGATCCCGCACTACAGGAAACCAGGCTTTCTCCTGCGCTGCCCCTCAGCTGTGGAATGCCCTGCCTTCATATCTGAGGGCCCCACAGACCATGACATGCTTTAAAAAAGGTCTTAAAACCTTTCTTTATGCCCAGTTATTTAATTGATTGAATTGTACTTTTGTTTTTTATTGCACCTATAGTTCTTATTTGAGTATTTTATCTGCATTTTGTGCATTTGAAGTTTTGATGTGATCTTTCCTCATTGTCCTCCTGGTTGTTCCTCCTCTCAGTTGCTCTTTGCGGTTGCTTTTTGTCTTGACGTTATCTGATGTTTACTCATTGTAGCAGTTTGAGATCCATTGTGAATGTAAAGGGCGTTATAAATAAAAGTTATTATTATTATTATTATTATTAATAATCAAGCACGGACCGGGCGGAATGTTCACAAATCTGGCTGTTTGGATTCATTGAGTGTACCAGCAGAACTTGAAGGCAGACAAAAAACAGAGTCTGGCAGCCCAAACAGTTGTTGTTTATCTGGATTTAGCCTCCCCACTGGCCTTGGACAGGCCAACTTATCTTAGATTGCTCCTGGAGGATACACAAACTAGAAGCTTCTGCCTGCCCCCTCCTCCTGAGGACATCTGTGGCCTTATCAGAACCATGGTGTTGATAGACACTGTACCATCTTATTAGAACTTTGGAACTTTCTAGAGAATCTATGGATAACACCACTTTTGTTGACCTCTATGCATAAATGTATTATGATGTCATTGTATGTTGCTGTTTTATGTTGCCAGGTATTTTTTTGCATCTTTTATACTGTTTCCCAGCCAGGACATGGTGTGAGACATGATTTTTTTTTTGCTTCCTCCAACCTCATGTTCTCTTTTTCTCATCTGTCTGTATGTTGTATGTAACAGGTCTCTCTTGTAAATGAGTCTCTGAGATTCAGTGGGAACTAACCTGTATAAATAAAGGTCTAATAAAAAAAAAAAAAAAACTCAGTTTTCTACGAGTGATTTCACAGCTCATACGATACTATTCGAAATAATATCACTTCAAAGATTCCTTTAGGATATTTTTAATTGAAATATTGAAGGCATAAAGTAAATCAGTGTTTCGTCGCTTTTTCACTCGAGTTGTATTTGCATCATTCGTGTGTATCTCATCACCTTTGAAAACTGGGTCTGACAAAATTGTAGGTGTGTTTCAGTGTAAACTGTTGTGTTTAAACTTACATCAACAATCAGGAAGTCCAACCAGCACCAAGCATTTGTAAAATACTTGGCAAACCCATATGCTACCCATTTCAGCAGCATCTCCAGAATAAAGATGAAGGTGAAAATTCTGTCAGCATATTCCAATATTATTTTTATGATCTTCCTCTGCTTAATGTAGATGTCTTCAAAAGCCTAGAGAAAAAAACAAAACAAAAACAATGAGACCATTAATTATAGTACCTGTGAATATACTGTACATGGCAATAATGTAACAAAACAGCCTAACTGTAATTTGCAGAGAACAATATGTTTTAGACTTACAAGTGCTCCACTGCTTAGCAAAATCATGAAGATGATGAAGGTCTCAAACCAGTTGTGCTCCACTATTTGATAGCAGGTTTTTCTGAATGACCACCACAGCTTCCAAAAGCCCACATTCACATTAACCTGACAACACTTAAATTTTTGCACACATTCTGAGAAGAGACAAAGATCTGTTACCCATTTATAATAAAGAATAATAAGATGTAGTAAGTATTTGCAAGTTACATCAGGAATAGTTTTCACCTGCAGTAAAACAGTCCTTGGGTTCCTTTTTCACTTCCAAATCATAGTCATTTTCAAGTACTTCTCCATCTTGCTGACCATCCACTGTACTACCCTCTGAACTGGAACTGAACTGTCCATCATCATCTATAGCCTATAAAGAAAATAATAATATGTTTGTGTTTGATGATGAAAGCAACAATGATCATTTACAGAGAATCCACCCCAATATAAGAGAAAAAAAACTACTGTTACTGTATATAAGTAGCCAACAGAGCCATGGGAAATCAGACAAAATGTCAAATTTCATGCTCTTTTATATGTTTTTCTCCAAAGAAAAACTGGGAAGTCGTCATTTTAATTGACATGAGAAGTCTCAGGAAGGTAGCCATTTTGGTTTGAAGTTAGCATTTTGATTTCTAAACCTCATATTTGAACAAGCTTCTACAAATGTTCCTACAGATTTTGAAGTATTGGCTTCAAATTTGGTCAGTATACTATTAGAAAATAGAGGATTGAAAGAAGTCATAAGCTTGGGTTCTTATCACAGCACATGGACGTGACTACAACAGACTTTGACTTCTTAAAACCTTGTCACTGCATGTAAATTGACATGTTTAACCCCAATTCAGTACTCAGCACATATTGATTTCACACGATTTCCTTAGCCCTGCACACTGAAAATAAAGTTAGATGTATTACTCAAGGACATTATTCTCTACCATGGTTTTTCACATTAATTTCAAATTGTGTCATAACAGGTTACTGTTCCTTAATATAGTTTTACTCATGGGTATCTGCCATTTTGAAATGAATCTTCATTTTGAGGCCACATTTTTCTGACTCTTACATTTGAACACACATAGATTTAGTCTTTTGATAGAAATGGTAGTGCTCATTGCCCAATATTGCAAGCTGCCAAGGTGCGAGCGCCATCCACTGCTGCTTGTAACTTTAATTTTGCTTATTGATGTATGGATTTCTACAGGTTGTGTCTTTTAATAGTTGGTATGAAAACTGCTTGACTTTCTTCCTAGAGAATGTGATAAGTCCTAGGACCATCTAATGCAATACAGGCAGTGATGTAAGTACTCTACTGCAACATGCAGGTTGAATTATTATGTAATGAAGGTTTGGGCCTTAGTCCTGTATTTCTGTTTCTGTGAGCAACACACTATGTTAGAGCAAGTGTCACTCACAGAACTCAAAATATTTTAGCTGCCTTTGGATAAAAATAAAAAAAGTTAGTATAGGGTTTTTGTCCATATGTTATGAAAAACCATTAGGGTTCACTAATTTAGTATAAGTGATTTGACCAATTCATGACAGAACTCTTACCAGGTGGCACTCGGGTAAGTTGGTTGATGCGCTGCTAAAATCCTCAGTGTTGAGCATTTCAAAGTCAGACTCCTCTGCAGCAATCGGAACAGAAACAGTCAGACTTGGGTTGTTTATGAAAGACAAGATGGAATCATCACTCTTGCTGTTGACTATATACTTGTCTCCAGATTTGTCTACACCAGTCACATCCCCATTGCCATCCAAAGAGAAGTCTTTAATGGTATAGCTAGGGACACCATTTCGTCCAAAAGATTTGTGGAGCTCATCCAGAGACTGGTCTTCACTCTTGTTTTTCTTTTTATCCCTGAGACATAAACTGTTGCAGGTACTTCGAAACAGTGACTTGATATAAGCATTGCCTCGGCGTATACGTCCAATCGCAATCTGCAAATTGTTCATCTCGCTGTCGTCATCTACAGCTGCCAGGTTATCCGCACTGAATGAACTTAACAGCAGGGCCAGGAACAGGTTCAACACCTAGAGGAGAATGAAGTTATTTAAAGTAAGACTGATCTTTAGTCTGTTTATCTTGTATGGTAAAATATTTTAGAAATAATTGCATTGTTAATGTGACAAGTTAAATTGAAACAATTTGGATGATGTGAAATGAATTGACCATAAAAGATGTAATGTACCACAAGATTCCCAACAACCATGACCATCATGTAGAGAATGAGGCACTTGTGGATCCCAGCCACCTCCATACAGTCCCACATGGTCTCTATCCACTCCCCACAAAGCACTCGGAACACAATGAGGAATGAATGGAAGAAGTCGCTCATGTGCCACCGAGGCAGCCTACAGTCATCAGAGATCTTACACACACAGTCCCTGTAGTTTTTTCCAAACAGCTGCATGCCCACAACAGCAAAGATGAAAACAATAATGGCCAGCACCAGGGTTAGGTTTCCCAAAGCTCCCACTGAATTACCAATAATTTTGATGAGTTTGTTTAGAGTGGGCCAAGATTTAGCAAGCTTAAAAACTCTCAGCTGCAAAAAGAAAGAAAAACAGGTATTTTAGTCATTGCAAAAACACAAAGATATTGAAAGTTACATATGGTAATAAGAAAATATTGCAACACAGAAATGCTTTTCAATCATTTGCAATTCCATTTAAATTCTTGTGCTTTTTTTTATTGAATGCACAATTTTTTTATGGTTTGGGGAAAGTCTAGACTTGAATAAAGTAAGCAGCCATTTTTAGACAGAAATACCTCTGAAATATTATTTTGAACCTGAACGTTAAATCAAATAGACAAAAATCACAAATTTAGACCAATTTTTCCTTATTTCATACTGATATTTTTCAGCAGATCTTTTGAGTTTTAAGTCAGCCTAGGTCAATTTGTAATCAGTTTCAGGTGAGCGTAGTTGTTCTGCTACACAACTCAACATTTTTAAAGCTTTAATTGCTTCAATGTTCTAATAATTAACTTGATGGATAAAAAAAATCCTTATTTTTCCAAACCAAATGGCTCATAATGACACACTGAGAAAACTATTTCATTATTTTTAACATAGATGAAGAGCTGATAATGTTTTTTGTCAATACACAAAAATGCAGATAAAGTTTAAGCTTACCAGCCTAAATGATCTCAAAATAGACATGCCCTTCACATTCTTCAAACTAAGCTCAATCAAGCTTAAACAGACGATGAGCGAATCAAAAATGTTCCATCCCCCTTGAAAGTAATAGTATGGGTCCAACGCAATGATCTTGAAAACCATTTCAGCTGTGAAGATGCCAGTAAATACCTTCACACACATAAAAAAAAGGCCATTAAAGCTTACAATTATTTTGGAATAAAAAAGCATTAACTAGTTTAGTTGGCTTACCAGGTTTCCCACAGTCAACATGTTTTTGAACCACGGTTCCATTGGCTGATGCTCCATGGCCATAAATAATGTGTTCAGTACAATGCAGATGGTAATAGCTAGGTCCATAAATGGGTCCATTACAATTAGGTTGACCATTTTCTTGATTTTCATCCACCCTGGACAAAACTCCCAAATGAGGAATGTGTGAGCAAACTTGTACCAATAAGGAGGGCACTTCTGCCTCGACTCTTCAAGTTCTAATGTAAAAATAGAATATTTTAGATGAAAGCATGGTTCTCTTTAACATTCAAAATACTTTAAACCTTGAAAATAAATTTTGAGCATAGCAAATAGGATTCCTACCATCTATAGTGCTTGTAATGACACTAGCTATACTTTGTGCTCTCTGTCTGAACTCGGGGGCCTCGAGTAAGTCCAAAAACTCTCCGTAGTTTCCGCCACTGGACTTCCTGCATTCTGTATCAGTTGTGTCAGCCTTGACGTAAATGTGTGGATGAAAACAGAAAAGTAAACATTATTTTCAATATCCCATGCACCGATATATTAACACTGTAACACTAAAGCTAGTGTCAATCAAATGAATAAAACAGTTAATCTTCCCAGTTACAATGCAAAACATTTACAAAGTGTTGATGCATAATTTAGTTTCCACCAGTGTTTCAGGAATTTATGAAGGTCTAAAAATAAGGTAAAATGCTATGATTTTTTTTTCAAGTTATTTTAATGTGGGTTTTCTGAGTCCACCACAAGTTAAAAGTTTTACAAAATGTCTCTAAATTGCAAACACAACAAACCTATCATCAGATTCTTGTAGTATCAGTGTAGTTTGGTGACATGGTCTTGGTTTCCTCTTATGCAGTTTACTTTAATTTCTGCAGTTTCAGATGCCATCACAGCAAGGTAGACATCAAAGCCACATTGAGTATAAACCTTAGAACAACCTCAAAGGTCCTACAGGAGGAATTGGCATCCTAGTAGCATCCAGCTACCTCGCCTCAGTTGTTGTCCAATTATCAGTGGTGGGATGTAACTAAGTACAGATACTTTGTTACTGTAAAGTACATTTTTCATATACCTGTACTTTACTTAAGTAGAGTTAAATGTGGGTACTTTATACTTTTACTCCACTACATTTTACATCAAGTATCTGTACTTTCTACTACACTACATTTCTATAATGCTTTGCATTACAAGTTACATTCATGTTGCGGCTTTTTGATTTGTTTGTTACTTTGAAAGTAACCAACGGTGAGAGGGGAGTTGGTCCAGTGAATCACTGCAAAGTGGGCAGGTAACGTTAGACCCGCCTTCAAGAAGAGCTGGGCCAATGACATATTCTAGTAAATATGTCACAGAGCTGGGTGCACCCACAGCACCGCTAACACACCCAAAATGTATTCCACCGCAAGAGAGTCAGCAAGAAGATATGCACCACCCATGGCCTTATTGAAAGATTATTCAGTACAGCAGGACAAATTCTCCCAGAAGAGCCAGACTGGGCTTAAAAATCTTTGAAAACCAACTTCTTCTGAACTTGAACAAGAAATTCTTGCTGCAATATTAAAATGTGTCAGTTCATGGGATGTTAGGAGACAAGAGATGTCTCCAAATGGCTCGACACTCAGGTCCAAGTTTTAAAAATGGTGTCAGAAAGTTAAAATATTGTTCAATATTGACCCATTACAAGGTTGAATAGACAGTATTTTAACTGGTTGATGACAAACTGGAGTTGAAATATCAGTGGAAATGATCAGAGCCTGTTACTTTGTTAGTTGTGTCTAATGTTCCTTTTTTTCAGGCAGACAACTTTTACTTCAATGTGTTTACTGCAGTTAAAATGACACATTGGTTTTGCTTTGTGTTAAATAAAAACTTTCAAAGGCATAATCATTCCTCTTTCTTATTTTGATTAATGGCATTTAACTCTGCGTGTCATCCCTGAAATTCTGACGCACAGAACCACAAGTCCAAGAGTGAACTGTGTCACAGAGTAAACACAATAAAAACATGTATTATCTGCAGCGTTGTTCATTAAAAAGGCACAACTCTATTAATGTATTACAGTACATATACATATGGTAGGCAGACTTAAAAGATATGTAGACCATTGCATTATGTAATACATTCAGGAAGTACTTTTACTTTTAATACTTTAAGTATTTTAAAAGCAAGTACTTATTTACTTAAGTAAAAATGTTAATGTGGTACTTCTACTTTTACTAGAGTGCATGTTTGTCTGTTTATTTGTACTTTTACTTAAGTACGGTGTTTGAGTACTTTCTCCGCCACTGCCAATTATGCAGCGCCTGCATGAGCCTCAGCCTTTGCTGTAACCATGCTCCCTGTCCAAGACTTTAAAACTTCAGTAAGTTCTTCACCGTGTTCTTTCTTTACATCTCAGCCTCATTTTATGAACAAAACACTGACCCAGAGTTTAGTCCCTCATTGCATACATACGGTAGTCCCAGGTTTTTACTTATTCCTTGCAAGATACTTGCCACTATTGTCATACCTTGTTCTTTTCAACTTTATACCCGTGTCTTTGCTGTGTTAAAGTCATTTTATTTGTATATGAATTTCTACTGGAGGAATACCTACTTCTGCAGCATTTTGTTTCGTTTCACCTAGATCATACCACACATGAGGCCTTGGCAATGAAAGGCAGAGAAATTGTGATAGAGATATATGTAAAACCTTTACCCTGTGATGTTCAGTAAACCCAGTATACGTTGAACCAACAAACTAAAGATTAATTCTCTGTTTAATATAACTTTCTTCATCTTGGCTAATGAAACATTTCTTACATTGTCTCCAGTGGAGGCCACATCTAGTGTCACTTTAGGCAGAAGAAGCCCCATAGGTGGTGATGATGGAAGAAAATTCCCATCCACCAGAGACACAACCCCATTGCAGTCTACTGAGCTGTGCCTGACGCTAGTGGGCTGAAATCGGAGATGCGGTAAGAAGCTGCACTGGCTCATACTGCTGCTGCATCGATCACACCTCTGAGCATGAAACAGGGATCCCCTCCGACTTAGGTTGTCTTCAAAAATGCTGTTCTCATCATCCGCAAACTCGTTTTCTGAGCTCACATCTTGTGGCTGGCTTTGAAAGCTGCAAAAGCTGGTCTTGCTGTTTCGTCTAGATGACAACAGTGGTCCACGAAAGCTCAGAAAAGACTAGGAGACAAAGATAATCTCCAGTGGATACATGATATATGTTGATCTTAAGAAGAAAAGAATAAAGATGGCAGAGGCGTTTATATGTTCAAACAAAACGGTGACGATGTGCAAAAAGTAAATAAATAATGGACGTGGTTGATGAATATTGTAAAAAAAAAAAAAAAAAAAAAAGAAAAATAGTGATGATGAATATGATAAAGAAGATGACCATAATGAAGCTTAAGCTGATGAAGAAGAACATGATAATGATGATCATATGGATGATATAAATTTTGAGAAAAAAAATCATAGCGTTGTAAAATGTATTGAGTATGGCCGACAAGGAAAATAACACATGTTGAAGAAGTTGAACAAGATGATAATGATGATGATCACGATGAAGATGTTCAAGATATGAAAATGATAACATGTTTGCACTTCAGAAGCCAAAGTGAACATTGTGACATTCAACTAAATCAGCAAAGCACAGTTCAAATAGTTTTAATATAAGTATCATCAGCCCTTGTGTATGTCCTCACTTTCATCAAGTTCTTTTCCTTCAGCGGAGGATGTTAAAACACATAAATAACAATTTAAAAAGCATATTCATCACAGACTGGAGCCTTGTTTCTTTTGATTTAAAAAAGTTGATTTCAGTACAGCTAATATGAATAAATGTATCTTCCTATTGAATGATTAAATGCTTGAAATTGGATGTTGTAAAATTAAAACATTTATTTATATTGTATAAAGTGAGGTTCTGTGGAAACTTTGATAGTTTAAACAAAATATAATTTAAATTTATAAAAATTGTACTTTTCTGGATTAGTTATTAATAAATACTTGTTGGAAAACAGTAATTACACAAGATGCATAACAAATTATCTAATAAATTTTAAAAATAAAAAAGAAGCATTAATCTAAGAGCAGTACTAGAGTTTAGGATGAAGCAACAGCAGTGAATTATTTCATAACCAGCATATATCAACAGATGTTACTGCACCTGATGCATGGGGGAGCATTTCATGTCATAGTTGAGCATGTTTTCATCCACAGAGAACCGGAAACAAGCCCTCTTCATACTGTCCAGAGAGTTGGATTTAGGAACTTTTGACACCTCTTTTTCCTCCTCCTCTTTTCTTTTTTTTCTCCTGTTACGCCTCTCCTTGGCACTTTTGGAGCTCAGCTTGGACGCATCAGAGGAACTCTCAGTGCCACCACCTTTATCAAAGGTCTGTCCATCTTCTGACATACCTTTTGCTATTGCCTAGAAGACAGTGCAGTAGGGCAGTACAAATGAATATAAAATGATCTTTAAGATATGTGACAACTAAATAGCAAATCCAACCACACACACACACACAAATATATATATATATACATACATATACAAATATATATATACACATATATACACATATATATATATATATATATATATATATATATACATATACACATACACACACACACACACATATATATATATATATATATATATACATATA